TCACCTCCCTATGAAAAAATATTTAAAAAGACAATATAAAAAGAAAAATGAAGAGGGAAAACTCATTAAAGAGGTGAAAGTTAAGTACTTTGATCATAAATTATATAGTGAAGGGACAATGAATATAAACACGAACCATATATATACATATATATATATATATGTATATGTATATACATGTATCTTTCTGATTGATAGATATCAATCACTTTTAACTTCAAAACTTATCTGAAATATTTGAGAAATGAGAACACGAACAAGGACATAGCTTTACATACAAGAGAGAACTGCTTTAAGAATCACACAATTATAATCTTTAGTTGGGTGGTTTCCTTATCCAATGAATAATAGGTTGGATATATATAATCTTTGGAAGGTCACTATATATGTGCATATATATATATACACATATATATATATGTATGTATATGTGGCTGTAGAGGGTTTGGAATATATTTGTGTTCCCTGAATCCTAATGGCTTAATTGTAAGGCACTAGACATCCCTGACCACCGGCCACTGCCCTTCTCGCTTTTCAGCTTTTGGCCTTACTGCAAATGGGGCCGAAGCTCAAGTAGCATGCTTTACATAAATATTATATGATATATACACACACACACACACACACACATATATATATATACATATATCAGTGTACCTTTAGCTTTAAGGGTTAGGTTCCTTTCACGATTTTTGCTTGAATTTAATTATTTTAAATGGTGAAAATGCGAGGACTAGGAATATATATATATATATATATATCATATGGGAGACCATAATGAAGTTTTCTGCATGCCAAGATCAGAAGGGAGGGAAGAAAAACAAAGAGACAAGAGTTCTGACAACTCTGCCATATTCACTTTAATTCAATTTACATTTACACTGGGTTTTTACACTATACATTTTACAACAAATATAAAATAATAAAATTATATATGTATAATATCCTTTATTATATATATATATATATATATTTATATTTATATATTTAATTTATTCGAAATTAATTTATGAATATTTTATATGTATATATATATATAATTAGATAAATTTTTATAACATTTTAGGAGATGACTTTGGCATCTGGCGCTGAATGATTGAGAGCAGTTAAATGGGGCCCGGTGATTGATCAGACAATCAGAGCTGTCAGATTGGAATCAGAAGGTGTAAGATTTATCTCACCTCCTCAAATAAACTCATCATGTGCACCATTATTCTATTAGATTCCCTTACACACCCCATATATATATATATATATATATATATAGATCCAAATAAGTATGATGATTTATTTCAAATTTTATTACAAAATAATGCAAATAGAATTTAAAACATGCTAATTATATTTTCTTTTTGAATTTTTAAACTTATATTGTTTCCTTAGGAAATAAAATAAAATATTAATATACTAATTTTAATCTTTTTTACGATGTTATTTGCATAAATCAAATCTAAATAATAATTCACGATCAGTACATAAAGTATAATTTACTCGAATTCTTTGTCGATGAACGTTTTATATTATATCAGTATTTGTCGTACTTATTCTTCATTAATATTTATAGAAATAGAATGTCAATTTTGATATTAACCATATAATTATATAGTCAATATTTATATATATATAATTAAAAATTTAAATAGTAAAAGATAAAACTATATCAAAATAATTGGTCACATGGCAAGGTGGCCAAAAATGGAACATTAAGAAATATCATACTTTCTTTTTTTTCTTTTTTTTCCCCATCTTGGGTGAACCATGGTTTAGAGAAGAAGTATTATAATATATATATATATAGATATATATATATATATATATATATATTAATTGAGTTTTGGGTAATGACAGGAAATCTAAATGAGAGATAAACTAGAAATTATTGGGCTGCCAACATCAGACCCTACTCCTTTGTATCATCAACAACCAACTATGAAATGAAAGAATTAAAGTATGGTGCATGGGTTAAAAGTATGCATGGGCCATCTTTTTTCCTTCATGCATATATATATCTTATTTTTATAGCTGTTATATCAATCATGCAAGCAACAAAATATTAAAATTTGATGTCAATATAAATCTATGTATGGTTTTAATAATATTTTAACTAACATTTATATCTATTTCCTTTTTAACAATCAAATAATTTTATTTTGTTGGATTATGGTTTTTTTTTTTTTAATAAAAAATATCGTAATCATTTTTCTTCGTTGTATTACAAAACGGATCGGTCGTATTGAAATTTTATTTTCTCGAATAATATTTACTCCAAATGTTCAACTTCCCTATAATTTTATTACATATAAATCATCTACTATAACATTAGAACTGAGAATTCACATAAACATTTATTGTTATATTACTCTAAAAGAATCGAAACCTAAATTTATCTTACAAATTTATATTTATTTATCAGTAAGATAATACCGAGTTTATAATTATTTAATTTACTTTCCAATTATTATTATTATTATTATTTTGTATACTACGAACTTAATTTTTTAAGTAATTATTTTATTTTTTATATAAAATTTAAAATATTATCAAATTATTCTTCAATTTTTGCGTATCGAGACTAAAATCTCTTCGAACTTGATTAGATAGATTAGAATTATGAAAAAAAAAAAATCAAATCCCACCCACCTAATCCCAAAGAAATTGAATCTTACACACATATATATATATATGTATATATATTTAAAGAACTTGATTAAGCAAAATATAGTATGTAGAACTTGGCATATGTAAAGAAAAGAAAAATCCTTTAAATGACTAAAATTTTGAACTTGTCACATATTTTAAGTTACATCAAATGTATTAATTAATATTAGATGTGTATGGTAAGACAGTTTACCAACTTATTACTACATTTAATTAAAGTTCAATGCTATTTAATTTTCTTGGGTAATTTAGTTTAATCTCAAATTAAATTTCCATAAATTATTAAAATCACTTTCTTGATTAACAAGGAATCTTGTAATTCAATTCAGTTTCAACAACCCTTTGTTTTTTTATATATATTTATCAGAAAATTAAAACTAATTATAAAATATAATTAACATAATAATCAATAGTTTTTTTACCCGTATTATAATTATATAAAACAAGCATACGTTTTATAACGTTTGTGAAAATATCATCGTCAAAATTTATAAACCCGAATAAATTTATTTTTATATATTTTTTTTAATTATATAAATTTTTTAATATTTTTTTTGGATTAGATAACCAACTTATTTAAAATTTAAAAATTTAAATTGTGATTAATTATCACATCTAGTAAAAGTTACCAAGTAATCTATATATAAAAAAAAAAGTTATATTTAGTAAAGATTTAACTGTAACTGTATGTATTATTATACATAAAAAATTAATTTTTATAAGAGAGTATTATTACAATTAAAATAAATAAAATAGATGGGTAGTAAATATATGATACCATATAAATATAAATAACATGTTTTAGTAAACAAAATTTAAGCACACCCCAAAAGATAAAAGTTGAAATGGGCATATGCACTTGCATAATGGGCCCATATGCCACATGCATTTATGGTTTATTGCACCACTATATATATATATATATATATATATATGTATATGTATATGTATATATTTTTATCAAGCTTTATGCACCCATTTGCCGTACTCCCTCTCCAATTACTTTCTCAAATTATTCGCGTGACATTCATTTTATGTAAATTTTAATTTTAAATTTTAATTATGTAATGCATAATTTACACTTAATTAAAATTTCAAATTTTATTTATTAATTAAAAATTAATAAATAATCATTATATATTATTACATTAATTTTTTTACATTTTAAAATCCGAGCATAAAATAATATTTACATTTTTATTTTGATATTATAATTAATTTTAATATATATTATCTTTATTTTCTATTTAGAAATTTTTTTAAAAAAACATCATTTGATTTACATCTCATCGAGTACAATAAAAATAATAATAATCATGGCTAATTATGTAAACTCAATAATTTTTTACAAGCTATCGTGTGATATTAATATTTATTATACCGAAATTTAGTTTAATTTTAATTTAAGTATTATTTAATACCTAACAAATTTAATAATTAGTAATTAATTATCTAAACTCATGAAAATTAGGAATTAATTTGCCTCAAAAGCAAAATTTTTACATATCAACCCTTTTGGAAATTATTTTTCTTGATGTAATTAAGTATATATATATATAAAATAAATCCCATATATGCAAGGCTATGTATATAATGCTAAGTTTTTTTTTTTTTTTTGTAACAAATATATATATATATATATATAAATTGGATAGATAATTAAATTATTTGTAGGTGGTTGTATTGTTTTCAAATGCTTATACTTTGTAAGCTAAATTAGCTATTTCATTTCCAAAATTTTATTGCATTTATACAAACTTGTTTTTGTTCTTGTGCTATGTATTCTCCAATTTTGTTTATACGCTTCTATACTTACAAAAAAAAATTAAACTATAAGATTCAATTAAATTAAATACGAAAATAACCGTAAATAAATTTTGTATTCAATAATAGTAGAAAAGAATCTTTGCGTACTACGATAGATCTCTTAAATTCACATGCTAATTTTTAATAATTTTTTGTTGATTGAATAATAAGAAAATAAATAGTATTAAAAGTGTGAACTCGTTATAAAGATGTCGTGATATATTAAGTTAATATTCTCGAGAAAAATCAAACTAGAGTACGTATAGATATGGGTCCGGGTTGGATTGTACTATTTTCTTATAAGGTTGTGATATTATTTATTGAAATTTAATGTAATTATTAGGTGGTGAAATTGTAATTTGATTTTATTTTATTTTTTAAAAAAAAAGCAGCAAGTGAAAATTAGGTGCAGAAAATAGATTCCACGTTAACAGGAACAATTTTTTATTTTTTATTTTTTTTTTACCATTTTTACTCTCCCCCACTTGATTCTTCTTCTTCTTCTTCTTCTTCCTCTTTTAACTGATTCTGAGACCGGCATTTGGTGCTCAAATCTCTCTCCGCTTCTCTTTATCTTCTTCATCCCTTCAATCCCTCCGTCTTCTTCTCTCCTCCTCATTCATTTTAGTCAATTCCCACCTCTCACTTCTCTCTTTCTCCTCCATGGTTGGTTTCTTCTTCCTCTGTTCTTTAACTACCCTCCTCAACCTCTCCCCTTCTGATTTTCACACCCACAAAGAAGATAAACCCTTACATTTTCCCCAACACCATCTTCTATTTTGAATAATCATTGAAGCTTCTCAACACCAACTTCTCCTTTCCCAGTTTCTTCTCTATCTCAGTCGCTCATGGCGTCCGACCCACCAATTTCTCCGTTCCCTCTTCCTTGATTCTTCATCGGGTCTCTGTGTCTGGACTTCCTTCAACCTTTTTCTACTCACCCATTGAGGTTCATAAGCGAAGGCCGCATGTTCGAGTGCCCGTATCTATTTTCCTAGAACGAGCAGTTGTAAAACGAGGAGCAAGGGTCTTCGTCTTCAGTATTTTTCACTGATTCTTCAACAGGTAAAAAGAACTTGAATATTAACGTTAAAAGGCGTGATTCGGATTATCTTGATGGTTTTTGTTTGAGACTGAAATATGTTTTGATTTATTATGTTTTATTAGATAATTTCCATTTTTTGTATTTATGTGATCGGAAATGGGTTGGTACTAGATTCAAACAGAGTTGATAGAGAGTTGATAGATAACGATCTTGTTAGTTGGTGAAGATGCTTTGAAAAACTTGATGGTGTTGGGTATTGCAAATTTGAATCACGAAGCTAGTCATTTGATATATTTAAAACCCATTCCGCCATGTTTAAGATTCATGTAATCCTCTTTTTCTCTGTGAAAGAGTTTTGAGCTTCTGAGTATTATTTCCTTCTTGATTGTTTTTAGTGAAGGTTTGAAGAAATGGCGATAGAGTTTTGTTCAGAGAATTCCAATATGAGTCCAAGAATCTCGTTTTCTCATGATTTATGTCAATCTGATATCGTCCCTGTCGAGAAGCGTCCTGTTAGATCAAAATCATCTCGCCAAAACTCTAGCATCGATTTCGATTTCGGTGTTGGTGAGAGCTCTGATCAAGAATCTTGTTCTGCCGACGAGCTTTTCTTCGATGGAAAAATCCTTCCTACCCAAATCAAGAAGAAGATTCAACCCACCAAACAGTCGGAACATTCTCTGCCGCCATTACCATTGCCATTGCCGCCAAGGTTAGATGATGCTGATACCAATGAAGATCAGAAAATTGACAGACCAAAACAGAGCAAGATAATGAGAGACGAAACAGGGGATAACATTGACGAGAAACAGAGTTCTAAATCATTTTGGCGGTTCAAGCGCAGTAGCAGCTTGAATTGCAGTAATGGATATGGTCGGAGTCTATGTCCTTTGCCTCTCCTATCGCGAAGCAATTCAACCGGATCAACACCAAGCATCAAACGCACGTCATTGACGAAAGACAACAACCATAACCAAAAACAGAATTTGCACAAACAAGTGCCGACGAAGTCCTTACATTCATCATCAACAAATCATCAAAAACCTCCATTAAAGAAGAATTATGGAAATGGTGTCCGAGTTAATCCTATTCTGAATGTTCCGTCAGGGAATCTATTTGGATTAGGTTCGATCTTCTCCACAAGTACCAAAGATAAGAACAAGAAAAGATGATTGACATCCAATTTTGTGGTAAAGAAGAAATAACAACACTTGAAAAATAGTCTATAGTTGTTCATGAATGAAGATTTCTTTTCTTTTCTTTTCTTCGTTTGTTTGTTTACGGGTTTCGATTCTTGTTTATCGATTGAAATGTGATTAGTGAAATGATAATAGAGATAGGGAACGAGTAAATGGGCGAAGAGTTTTTTGTCAAAAGGGTGTCGATTGTGGAGGATTGGGGAGGGACCAAGAGGCCTAAAAGGATTGTGATATAGTTCAATATGGCACATGCTTTGGGACAAATTTGATAGGTAAAACATTCATGTCATGCTTGTCTTAGTCAAATTCTATTTCATTTTTTTTGTTTTTTATTGAAAATATATACATTTAGATTATTTTAATTTTGTGTATCAGTACTAAGTTATTCTAAAATCTAATCATATTCAAGTAATTTATATTGTAATCGAAGAATTTATATATAAAAAATTCTTCATAATGGCATATTTGAGATAAATTTAGCAATAATATAAAATTTATTTCTATGTTTATACTTAGTTTGAGTACAAAAAAGAGCGTATATATATATATATATATTATTGTATTACACAGATACATTTCAATTTTTATTAGCTCGGGTAGAATTTAGTACGTATTCTTTTAATTTCATGAGTTTAACTACTATTATCTCAAATAAAAGATTATCATATTCTGGTAAAACTAATAGTAAATTTACTGTAAAAATAAGTGAAAAAAATAAAATATGAATTTAACTCACGAGCTGATACTTGTTTAATAATAAAGTGACTCGTAAATCGATTATCACTTATCAGCAATATCGATTCGGATATGAGTTCGACTTTCTTTCCATGTACGTAGCTTTTGGAATTATGCATTTGTGCTTAATGCTCAAAGATGGTGCGGACAAGTTGGATATAAAGTGACACTTTTCTCTATTTTTCACTCGATGCTCGTGGCAAAAAGGTATGTTTGTATACGAGTTGTATAAGAGCAATGATGCCATCGATGATGGCTTCTTGAAAAAAAAAAAACAACTTCACTAGTTTGTTTCTTCTTGTCCTTGTTTCTAGTTGAAATGAAGACATAAAAGTAATCATTTTTTAAGTTCTCTTTTCAAGAAACTATAAGTAAACTACAAAAAAGCTTTCAATAATCGACATACATGGATCCATTTGAAAAACTTTGAAGAGGAAGCAACCTTGTAAAAAACTTCTTTCTAAATTCTTTTCGTTTTTTTACTTCGATTTTTATCCGAGTGGTAAAGTGGATTCGTAATCGAAAATATATTTATAAGACGACAAACTTTATTTTGGGCGGTGACTTTACGAGAAGAAGCAGCCTTTCTATAATTAGCATGCAATAATCTCTTTGAAAAACTGTCTAGAGGAAGCAATCTTTGAAGAACTTCTTCCTAAAGTATTCATAATTAAGTTATGCCTAAAAGTTAAATTTCATATTGTGTTCAAGATACTTTCCTTTGATTACTATAGTGGACTGAGCAGTGCTGGAGGCCCAGCCCATTTTAATTAATTAGTTATATATATATATATATATTATATTAAAAATTAATTCCATTATTTTCGAATTAGTAAGAGAATTAAAGTTTTCTCAAACAGATTTTTTAATTGTCGATCTTCCTATGTCGCTAAATCTTTAGGATGCCGAAATACGCTGTCATACATCAAATTTACGGCTAGACATTGTTGAAATAGTGCGCAGAATGTCAATAACGTTTTGATAAAGAATTGAGAAGACTGCTCTGAATTCAGTTTTATTATCGAGGATTGTAAATTTTTGTTATCACGTAGGCCGTATATTTTAATTACATAGACTAGCCGAAATGTAAACACGATGGTCTATAACGTTGTGTCGGAAGCCTAGTCTAGACCTATCTTTTAAGTTAGGGGGGATTAGCTTTTGATATTATTGTAATGCTAATTTAAGTATTAATGACGTTACGATTTTTTAAAAAAATTTGATTTTTTTTGAATAATTAAAATAAATGATCAAAATCGAACAAATTAAAAACGGATTATTCAATTATCAACGATTAAATTAAAAACCCTCTTAAATATTAATGCATTGTATTTATATATTATATATAACATATTAGTTTTGCATTTTAATTATAATTACAATATAAACTATGTTTTACATAATTGTTAATTGCATATTTCCAAAATTACGAATTAAAACTATAATAATTTTAATTTTAAATAATTTAATTATGCAATTCTGATGGATTATTAGATCTTCGTGGAGATATAAGTGCAAAATTATATTAAAATGTAAAAAAAAAAATTAATAATCAATTTTTGGTTTTTCTTTTAATTTTTTTATTTAACAAATTTAATTATATGCTAAATTTATATCTTTAAAATTTTTAAATATATATATATATATATTATATTCCTTTAATAGAAATATCTATTTATTTTTTTATAATGGACCCGTTTCTTCTTCCCTCAGTTTCCCGGATCACACCCTAACACCTAAATCCCACACTCATCTCCATTTGCTAACATCAGTTTCTTCTTGTTTCATCCGATTTTGCCCTCTAATCAACACTACACACCTCAACAATTCAATTTCTCTGCACCTAAAACCCTACTGGTATCCGATTCACAGTCGCAGCCGTGCTCTTGATAAATCCGGTCAAACAAGGAATACTTTTAGGTTTATCACTTTTTCTTTATCTTCTTCGAGCATTGCTTACTTGATGCGTATTGCTAGTTTGATGTGTATTCAGTACTCTGTTAACCTGCTGTTGCTTTGGATTTTATTATTCTTATTATTTGAGACTAGTTTGCTATTTTATTCACCAGTGTCTGTTTGATCATATTACTGGATGTAATCGTAACTTGATTTTAATGTGTTAATTTATGTTCATTTTTCCTGTTGTTAATTCTTTTGTAGTTCCTTAGCACGATTCAACTCTATCCATTTCGGTCTTGCTCAAATCTGAGAGAGTTTTAGTTGATCTATATAATTCACGTAAGCTTGCTTTGCCATATGATGATTTCTATATCAATACTTTGCAAACTTTTGTTATTTTCATAGCGAATTTAGTTCTACCAATCAGTTTGCTTGTTTGAAGTATACGTTCGGTTGGACTCTGCTTCATTGCCCTTAAGCATTTAACACATTCTCCATTTTTTGGTCTCCTTTTATCTATTAGCAGCTAAATAATGGAAAATTTCCTATCTAATGCAGGTTTGAATTTTCAGGTGCAAGATCTGGTAATTCAAGTGTATAGAGAGTTGGGATTGAGTGGAAAATGTCGAGGTTCCATGTTGGAGGGAAGGTGGTGGATAGTGTTGATTTGTTGATGAAGAAGCGCTGGCCGTGGCGACTGGATGTTTGGCCTTTTGCCATTCTCTATTTTGTGTGGCTCATCATAATTGTTCCAAGCATAGACATTACTGATGCTGCCATTGTTTTTGGTGGGCTTGTGGCTTTGCACATTCTGTTCTGGCTATTCACAGTATGGTCAGTTGACTTCAAATGCTTTGTTCAGTTTAGTAAGGTATGCAGTACTCTGAAATCCTCTATTAGATCTAAGCTTTTGTGGATTCAAGTGCTTGACAAATACGGACCTATGGCTATCTGTGAGTAGGGTTTTTTGAATTTACTGGACGGAGTATACTTAGCTAATATTTAAGGAATGGTTATGATGCTTTGTGATGGTTGATTGTGTTGCTATGCAGGTTCATGATATTCACCATGCAGATGCATGCAAGATTACTCCTGCCAAATTTTCTGGTTCCAAGGAAGTTGTGCCACTTCATTTTCGTAACCAAGTATGTCCATTATTAACTCTTAAAGAGCTGACAATGGTGTAAAAGTTGAAAAACTATTAAACAATTTAAACAACATTTGTCTTTTGACATGGAGTAGTAGGGAGTAAGCATAGTTACACGAAACTTTCAACATTAAGAGATATGTATGTAGTTGCTTTTTGTCTATAATTAAAGTATTTAGTTTATTTGATAACTATTAAGTTTAGGCTTATTGTTATTATTTTTATCTCAAAAAAAGTTATTATCATTATTATCTTGATAAAAGAAGAAATATCATTGAATAAGGAGAAGGTCATTACAGTGATGATGAGAAGATAAGATATCCTTATGGAAAAAGGAAAAAGTATAGACAAAGGAAGCAAAAATTATAGGTTCATACTTTGTATAGTTTTACTATTTCTTATTTAGTTAAGATCGCGTTTAGTTATTTTCTTTATCATATTCTAGACATAATAGAATACCAGGAAACCACAAAATTGTTTGAATACTACTCTAGTGTTATGTAGACAATAAAGATGGCAATGGGTTGGTTTGAGGCAGGATTCGGCAAATACGAAACCCGACTCATAGTTTGAGTATTAAAGTCCAAATCTACCTCAAACTCAAGGCCAGGTTTAATAATTTCAAGCCCTTTTGGACTGTTCAGGTTTTCTCAAAAATCCTAATTGCCTTGACTGGACCTGTCCCTCTCATTTCATTTTCTCATTTGATCACCCTCTGAACCTTTCTCATTTTTTATTTCACAACCACTGAGTACAACTTACACCCCCTTTTTATTCGAACTTAATTTATATTTTCTAATAAAATATATGCTAAATAGACATTAATAGAGATGGGATGGGTTGAACAGTTTTTGGGCTTCCAAACCAGACACTGATCTGACATTTGTATGTTAAACCCTACCTGACTGGGATCTGAAATTTTTGTCGAGAACTGGAATGGGGCAGCTGCAGAGCAGGTCGGATTGATTGGCCCACTGGTTTGTTTGCCATCCGGCCGTCTTTTTTGTGAACATTGTTTATGTTACCATGATTTTTTTCTTTTCTGAATATTTGGCTTCCCTCAACACTCTTCTTCCCGCCTTTATGTGCAGAGAAGGTGGTTTTCACTTTTGATTGGCAATCATTTTTGTTCAATGCTGTAATTTATGACATCTTCCTCTGCATTGAGTTTCTCAATAACATCATCCTTCATATTCGTAGGTGGCAGGTTCTTCTTCTGTAGTAGATATCCAGGAGATTTACTTCGATTTCAGGAAGCAATGTTTCATATACTCGAAGGAGGATGGGACCTTTCACAAGCTTCCATACCCCACCAAGGAAACATTTGGCTATTATCTCAGGAGCACTGGCCATGGAACTGAAGCTAAAATTGTCACTGCCACTGAAAAATGGGGACGGAATGTGTGAGTTGCTAGAATGGATTTCCATGTTTTTAGATTTTTTTTTCTCTGTTTTTCTAATTTATTTTTTTCTCAATTTATATCTGTCTTCTTTTCCTTTTTTGTGTGTGTTTTCTATGGTCTAAAGGCATTCTTTCTTTATTCCCTGATGAGGACTTAGACGTAGTAGATATTTTGACTCATTTATAAAGCTTTTGTAATCCATGGGCACCCCCTTAGTGCCTTGTTGGTTTTTGTCCTTTCCTTTTTCTTTCGAAAAAAGTGGTTGGAGGAGCTGTGGGATAGTGCTTGTAGAATTTTTCTTTTGAGAGGAAAAAGATAGAAGTAATGTTAAAGAGGAACGAAGGGGTTGCGACCCTAGTACAAGAGGAACCAAATGTCTCTGAAGTTTCCTAAATCATCATCATTGTTGAGAGGCTGGCCATTAAACGAAAAACTGAGTCTGGAAACAGTAATCTCTAATTCCATAAAAGATTTCTTGTTTCTTTCTTTCAAAGTAACCCAAATGATAGTCAACAGAAGTTTCCTAAATCATCATCATTGTTGAGAGGCTGGCCATTAAACGAAAAACTCAGAGTCTGGAAACAGTAATCTCTAATTCCATAAAAGATTTCTTGTTTCTTTCTTTCAAAGTAACCCAAATGATAGTCAACAGAATGAGGGAGTGCTGTACTTAGCAGGTGAATGCAAATGATCTGCTTCAAGCATCCAGACCCAACTGTAATCTTTCCCCATAAGTGTGTTATGTGTTTCAGAAGGCTGAGTCCCGCTGTCATCTTCTGTTGCACTGTGGTGTTGCCTGGAGGCTTTGGACCTAGTTCTTTGAAACCTTTGTTTGTCTCTCCCTCCACCATTGAATGCTTTACCTCTTCTTCCCTTTGGGGAGTTAGGAAGGGAAAGGAGGAAAAGTTGCTACCCAAAGGAGCTCTTTTAGTAGGGTTATGGGTGTTGTGGTTGGAGAGAAATGCGAGGCTACTTGCAGGACATTGTTTAGCTCCTCCAATTCCCTATGATAGTATGCCCTTTTTAGCTTCTCGCTGACTAAGACTCATGAGCATTTTATGTACATCTCTTTGGCTATTTTGCAAGGAGGCTTGGCTGCTGGTAATACTGTTTTTCGTGTTTTTGGTTTCTTTTCCCTTTTCCTTTTAATAATGTCAATTCAGGGTTATGGGTGTTGTGGTTGGAGATAAAGTCTAGAATATTTACAGGACATTTTTAACTCCATATCTCTGTGATAGTATGCCCTTTTTAGCTTCTCGTTGGACCAAGACTCATGGGCATTTTGGGTACATCTCTTTTGCCATTTTGCAAAGGGATTTGGCTGCTTTTTATTACTTTTTTCATATTTCTTTGTTTCTTTTCGCTTCTTCTTCCTTCACTAATGTTTTTCCAGGAGAAAATCTTATTCTTTGCTAATATACCTTTCTCTCTTTTCTCTCTAATAATATCTAGTTCGTCATAAAGAATCATGTTGTATTACTAAGTTTTTGTGGGAGGTCAGGTGATCTTCTAGGAGATAACTCAAGTTATCAGATCCAAGTTATGAACAGAAAATCTCTGTACCCTAAGTATATTTGGTGATATTTTATTTATGTCCTTTGCCACCTTTATATGTCTACTTTTTTATTTCCACTTTTCCTTTTCCTCTTTTTGTTAAAAAAAACTTTAAGAGCTTACCATGGGATACCTTAAATCTTATGCTTGCTTGATAAATGGTAAAAATCATAAAAGGTGAAAATGCATGGTCTTATTGTTTTGCCTTTTAAAGCCATGCATGAGACTATTATATGAAGATCTACATCCTTGACTTTTAAACAAATCTGGTTCTTCGGCATGTTCATGGCATAATTGAGATCATAGAGAAGAAACAAGTACTGATACACAATTTTTAAGCCTAACTCTAGTTACATGTGTGCTTCTGTACTTTCAAGAGTGCAGTTTACAATAGTGCTTCTGTGATTTGTGAAGTAATTGCGTGTAGTTGCTTCTATTTACTATTTTTCTTGGGAAGAAATACTGGAATTTGGAAGAAGTAATTTGACCCACAATCTTTTTACCTAGAATATACCTTTAACAAAAGTTTTTTGAAGGTTATTGCTCTTCTCAAAAATTAAGGTTTTTGTTTGGATTGTTGTACTTAACAAGCTTTAATACTAAAGATTTGGTTCAAGTTTGTAGGTCCAAACATAATTTATCCCCAATTGTGTGTGGTGTTTTCTCTGTGAGGAGTCCCATAGTCATCTTTTTTTTTTACATGGTAATGTGGCCTGGAGGGTTTGGGCTAAGCTGTTTGATGTTCTCATGGCTCTTGGGTTTCTCCTCCAAATCTTGAATGGTTTTATTTCTTGTTTTCGCCATGGTGTTGGTGAGAATAAGAAGGATAATTTGCTTTGCATAGGGGTGTTATTTGCTGTGCAGTAGTTGCCGGGCTTTTTAAATTTTGAGGACCACTTTTTTCATACATCTTTTCTTTAGCATAAGTTGATTTTTTTGGCTTCTCTTTGGGCTAAGGTGCATGGGTGTTATAAGGAGATTTCTTTTTTCTATTGCACATAGAGGTTGTTTGATTTTTTTTTTTAATATTTTTGTTCATGTTATTTCTCTTTTTTTTTGGTACACCTAACTTTTGGGTCATGTGGTACTTCTTTACCTCCAGAAAAGTAGAGGTTGGATATTCGATTTTTGCTTAATGCAAGAGTAACATATATTCTGTTGTATTAAAAAAAAAAATAACACGCATGCACTAATTACAATAGAATAGAATTTTTTTTATACTTTCTTTCTTTTGGAGGGCCCATAGTCCTTCATTTTTGTATTCTATTTCCTCCTTTTCTTCCCATAGTATAAATATTTCCATAAATAAAAGAATTAGAATTAAGTGATTTGAACTTATGGAATTGAGTTGTCATTTGTCAAGTTAATGTATTAATCTGCACTATTTTGTTATAAAACCTGGACTCAAATAATTTTGATTGTGGCTGTTAGAATAGACTAAATTCATTTTAGCTAGAAGTAAGGAAATGAAACTGAATCCTGGTTCTTTCTTTCTTCCTTTATGTACATCTTCTTTTTCATTGGTCTGGTTAAAACTTATAATATCAAATTTCCTCCTCTAATTATGTTGTTATCCATGATATGTTTTGATATGGATGCTTTAAAATCATGCAGCTTTGATTATCCACAACCTACCTTCCAGAAATTAATGAAAGAGCACTGCATGGAGCCTTTTTTTGTATTTCAGGTTTGTCTTTATTCTAGCTTTCTCTTCCCTTCTATATCTTCTTGTGTTTCCCTTTTGTTGTTTAATTTCCTATAATCCAACTTCACTACATAATCTGTTTCTTCTTTTCTATAGGTATTTTGCGTGGGTCTTTGGTGCCTGGACGAATATTGGTACTATAGTTTGTTCACCCTATTCATGCTGTTTATGTTTGAGTCAACAATGGCAAAAAGCCGGTTAAAGACTTTGACTGAACTAAGGCGTGTAAGAGTGAACAATCAGATTCTAATGGTGCATCGGTGTGGGAAGTATGCTATCCGAGTGTCATTAAACTTCTTTATAAGCTGTTTAGAGTCTCAAGAGTTGCGTATCTAACTTCATAAGTTTTAGGTGGGTTAAACTTTCAGGGACTGATTTATTACCTGGCGATATTGTCTCCATTGGACGCT